TCACTCCATAGACCAGGCTGGCCTCAAACTCAGAGATTCGCCTGCCTCTGCCCTGGAATGCTGGGATTAAAGGTGTGCACCACCATGCCCAAGTTAAAAACATTTTTATTTACATTTGCCTTTATACTCCAGTAAGTCATTGGTGACACCTGCCTGTCATCCCAGCTCTTGACAGATGGAGGCAGAAGGATCAGAGTTCAAGGCCAGCCTCGGCTACGTAGAAACGATGAGGCCAGCCTGGGCTATATAAGACCCTGTCTTGAAAACCAATTATTGGAAGCCGCGCTCTGTGGCAGATACACAAATCTAACCTAGTCTAAGGACCTCTGCCCCCGTGAGAAGCCTCTATATAGGCTCAGACAATATTTAAGAAAAAAAGAATCGTGGTTGCTGCAGAATGGTGGCCATCGCCAAAGCCGAGTGGAGAAGAAACCAAATTTTAGGCTGGTCGTGCATGGGATCAGTCGTGTGACATGGAAGACGGTCGTGTTTCATGGAAACGCTTTCCCTGATCTTTGGAACTCTGCTGTGTCCCCTGACTGTGGTGGCAAAAGGTTTCCTGTCCCCATTCTGGGCTTATTTGATCTAAGAACAAGTCCAGGCTAGGTGCCACCTAGTTAAAACTGAGCCCCCCCCCCTTTTTTTTGAATAGCATTTGTCACATCTGCCTCTCAAGAAACTAAGGTCCTAGAGAAAAAGAAGTCACAGCAGTTGGGAAAGATGGCTCAGTTGGGAAGGTGTTTGTTGGGCAAGCTTGAGGACCTGAGTTCAAGTCCAGAATCCCCATAAACCCGAGGGGGGTGCATGCCCGTAATCCCTATGCTGCAAGGGGAGCTCTGGGTTCGACTGAGAGACTGTCTCGATAAATAAAGTGGAGAGCAATGGAGGAAGACATTGGATATCAATTTCAGGCCTCCACCTGTACCCAAGAGCACACACGCATGTGCATGTACATTCCCACATACCCCATCAAGTGAGTGCATGCACACACACACACACACACACACACACACCACATACACACTACAAAATCTGAACAACATACTTCTAAGTGACTCATGGATCAAAGAAAAAATAGTAACAAAATATTTTATTTTCATTCAAATAAAGGGCCAAAGATAAGGTTCAGCAGTAAAGGAGCTTGCCACCAAGCCTGGCGACCTGAGTTTGATCCCTGGGCCCCACAACGTGGTGGAAGAAGAGACTCGACTTGTGAACTTTGTCCTCTGGTCTGCACAGATGTGCAGCGGCACTGTCACACTCATATACACACATGAGATAAATAATTGTGACAAAGAAATCCCTTTAAACAGAAAAGAAAAATACAGCTAAAAATAGGCCACGGGAAGTGACCCCTTGGGCCGGTTGGCGTTGGCTCGTGGGAAGTCCTGTGAGTCCCTTTCCAAATTTATGTTCTATAATTTCACATTGACATCCTAAATCCACCAGGGCGGGAATATTTGCACCACAGAATGAAGCCGTGTAAATGAAGCCAAGAGCAGCCGTGCACCCTTGCAGCCCCAGCACTGCAGAGGCTGGCGACGAAAGGGAGATCAGGAGTTCGAGGCCAGCCTCTGCTATACAGGGACTGCGAGGTCAGCCTGGGTCTATCTCAAAAAATAAACCAGAATTTGCAAATGCAACAAACGGTGATTTTTTTTTTTCCCTCCGAGAGCCAGGTAGTGAACGTTGACCAGCGTAGACTGCCGCAGATAAAGTAAGGCTTCGAGGGCAACGCACAGCTTTAAAAGCCGATTCCAGAAAAGGAGAACTAGGAGGGGCTGATAGGACGGCTCAGGGGATAAAGGAGCTTGCCACCAAGCCTGACAACCCGAGTTCGATCCCGTGACCCGACCCCGACCCCCACCCCCGTGGTGGAAGGAGAGAAGTAACTCTTACAAGTTATCCCCTGAAGCCCCAAACATGGCGTGTTTGAGCACAAATAACAAACAAACAAATGGATGATTAAGTAAAACAATTTAAAATGATAAGAAAAGAAAAATCAAAGATCGATAATCTAACCTTTCACCTCAAGAAACTCAAAGAAGAGTGGTGATATGCTGTGGACTCTAATAAACTTCCCTGAGGATCAGAGGACAGAGCCAGCCACTAGATTAGACATGGAGGCCAGGCAGTGGTGGCACACACCCTTAATCCTGTCACTCGGGAGGCAGAGACCTGTCTGGATCTCTGTGGGTTCAAGGCCACACTGGAAACAGAGCCAGGCAGTGGTGGCACACGCCTTTAATCCCGGGAAGTGACGCAGGGCGGAGAAAGGTATATAAGGACACAGGAACTAAGGCGGTTCAGCGGAGACCCTTTCGGGGGAGGACTCAGGGGCTCTCAGTTTGAGGGTTCGTGGAGTTGGTGAGGTGGGGCACAGCAGTGGCTTGTTCCTTTGTCTCTCTGATCTTTCAGCATTTACCCCAATATCTGGCTCTGGGTTTTTTTTTTTAAATTATAAGACCATTTAAAATTAGAGCAACAGAGAAGGGTAAATTAAACCCAAATTAAGCCTGGTTGGACCCTGCAACACCAGAAACTTGGGAGGCTGAGGCAGGGGACTTCTAAGCTCAAGCCTGGGTAACACTGAATTTCATGCTAGCCTGGGCTAAGTGGAAACTGTCAGGAAAGAATAAGACTGGGGAAAAAGTAAGGGGAGAGGAGAGAGAGGAAAGGGAAGGGGAGAGGAGGGGAGGGGAGGGGAGAGGAAAGGAAAGGAAAGGAAAGAATGGGGAAGTCTGGCGAGGCCCACCTGTGCCTGTGGCCCCTCTTGGTCTGTGGGAGCCATCCAAGAGGCGGCTAAGGGACCCCCCTTCTTTATCTGTAAATGAGGCTGCGGGGTGCCTCTGGAGGAGGCGCTGGGGTAGGTTCACAAGCTACAAGGTAAAACCACAGCTCACAAGGCTTACACAAGGAATTAAGACACAATTTACAGTACAAGGGCCTGCTGTGATTTCTGACAGTTACAGGCTGGCTGGGAGAGGAGAAAGGCGGTGCTGGGTCCTGTGTTCATTGCTATGTTAACACGTCTTAAGGGTTTAACTTGATTATTAATGTGCGTGGGCACACAAGTGTCGTGGCCTAGGTGTGGGGGGGTCTGATGATGGGAGTCGATTCCCTCCTCCTACCATGTGGGTCCTGGGGATTGAACTTGGGTCCTCAGGCTTGGTGGCAAGCCCCTTTATTTGCTGAGCCATCTTGCCGGCCCCTCTTTTAACACACTTATTTGAAATTTCTATTATTGTGTCTCTAGCTACAAGGATGGCCTTTGAGTTGGGCAACCGTCACAGAAAAGGTACCAGCTCTGCTGAAATTCTTGCTTTTCAGCCGGCAAGAAGCTTTCATCAGACCTGGGAGCAAGCGACTTTTCCAGTCCAGTGCGCCAAAGTCCACATCCTTTTGGGTTTGTTTGAGACAGGGTCTCATGGGTCTCAGGCTGGCCTGGAATTTGCTGTATACTGAGTGTGACTTCTAGCCTCCACCTCCCACGTGCTGGGGTCACAAGTGTGCACCGCCACAGCTAGTTTATGTGGTGGATGGAACCCAGGGCCTCATGCAGGCTAGGCAAGCACTCTGCCGAATGAGACACATCCCCAGTCCACCCCCATACACCCTTAATTTCCTTTCTCTACTTATTTATTTATTTATTTACTTTTAATTACACTCATGATATTCATTAATTACACTCCTGGTATTAATTACATTAGTGGTATTTATTAATTACATTCACATTATTCATTCCATAATTATATTTAATGTGATCATTAATTACATTAATTGGATTGATTTATTGCATTCATGATATCATGTCCTGATGCTACTGTCCATTTGTGAATTTCCTTTTTCTTTCTAGGCTGTCTGACTTCTCCAGGCCTTCCCCTTAGAATACTTTTTTCCTCCTCAATATCAAAATTCAAAGATGGAGTGTCGTAGTGCACACCTGTAATCCCAACACTTAAGAAGCTGGGGCAGAAGGATCTTGAATTTGAGGCTAGCCTGTGCTATACAGCAAGACCTTGTCTAAATAAACAGATAAAAACAACAGCAAATGCACAGTTTTAACTGAATGTATTGCTTTTACACCACCGTGAAGCAGAACATTGGGAGGGGGGAAAGTGGAAAGATTGGCTTAAGAAAGTGAACTATCTTAAGTCAGGTACCACCTGAATGATTTCCTCTCCTCATTCTGACCTTCTACCTGGCCTGTGGCATCCGACCATGTCAGTCAGTCCCTCCCTCCACAGCCTCATCTACCACCGTTCACAATGTCTCCTTCTCACACATCATCCTACAGACGCTCGTGTGTGTGTGTGTGTGTGTGTGTGTGTGTGTGTGTGTGTGTGTGTGTGTGTGTGTGTGGAGGGGTCTGTGTAATCCTTTTTTCCACACAGGGGCTCCAGCAGCTCCCACAAGCCTTTAAACTTAACTAAGTAGCTAAGGCTGGCATCAAACCTCTGATCCTCCTGCCTCCACCTCCCGCGTGCTGGGATTACAGCTGTGCCCACCACACTTGACTGAAGATTTTGGATCTCATTCCTCTGATCGTGCCCCCCCCCCCCCCCGCCCCCAACACACACCTGTTGCTCTCAGAAAGCCCTTGCCCCGGGAACCTCCTCAAACCTGTCCCTAGATAGAGCCTTCTCCTGGAAGCCTGCCCTAAACCCTGGAAAGTGTTCTTATCTGGGGCTCACAGCTTCGACTGTGGTCAACGGAGGAGCCTCGCCCACTGGCCGGATCACCCATCTGTCATTCCTTCCCACACATAAACATCCCACCCAATAAACAGGCTCAGAGAACCTGCCCTGGGGCACTGTGCCTTGCTTGCAACACACACACACACACACACACAAACACACACACACTCAAGCTGACAGCTCGAGCCTGGGGCCACCAGGCCTTCCTTTTGGAAGGGGGTCCAGCCGCAGAGCCCGGCGGGCCTGGGAGGGAGCGTCCCAGGGTGGGGTGGGGAGGAAGGCGGGGCCTGAGCCCCGGAGTGGCTGTCCCGGGCCGGGGACGGAAGTTGCAGCCCCGTACTTTCAGTTTTGTTTCCCTCGCAGGCAGGCAGTCGGCTGCCGGCCGTCGCGGGATTTCGGGGCTCCCCGGGCCCTGCTGCCAGAGTCCAAGTTCAGCAGTGGCTGGGTAAGGAGAGATCGGGGGTAAGAGCCGGGACCCAGAAAGACGAGGGGTCTGGGGGGAGGGGAGGGAAGTGAGAAAGCCCGGGAGAGGAGAGGGGAGGGAGGGGAGGGAGAGCAGGGGGGACCGGGAAGGCTCGAGAGGGCGAGGCAGGTGGCAGGCCCTGTGCCTCAACCTCCCGCCCCGTGTGGGGTGTCCCACACTCCCCGAGTACGGACAGCCGCACCCCCACCCCCGAGCTTCCCCTCCCAACCCCGGGGGGAAAAGGGAAGTGCAATCAATCAATCTTATTTACTTCTCTTCTTTTTTTTTTTTTTTTTAAGGCTGGGTCTCGCTCTGTTGCTCAGCCAGAACTCACCACTGTAGCCCTAGGCTGTCCCAAAACTCCTTTTGTAACCAAGGCTAGCCTTGAATTCCTGGCGGTCTTCCTGCCTCAGCCTCCTGAGTGCGAGGATTCTACCAGCTTTCTCTATTAAGTCCCCACCGTGCTGGGGACTCGCAATGCCTCCCCCCACCCCAGAAGTTTCTAGGATGCATTTGGTAGGAGAGGGTAAAATTAGGTGACTCCCGGGGTCAAGGCCAGATCTCCACGACCCCGAGGTCCAGGAGAAGGAAAGGAGATGAATTTTCCCCCCTGAGCCTTTGTCTTGTTGTGGAATTACTTTCAAAAATAGTTGGGGCAGGAAGTAGGACTTCCTACCCTCCCAGGACACTCTCCCAGACAGATGGACAGAAAAGGAAACTAAGGCTGTAGAACCCTGTCCCAACATTGAAAAGCCGGGTGCTTCTGTTCACCCAAACCACTAGTGTCCACTCATAACAGGACCCCACACCAAGATAAACGTGGTGTGTGGTGATGTATTGTGTACCCCAATAAAGCTTGTCTGGGGATCAGAGGACAGAGCTAGCCACTAAATTAGTCAGGCAGTGGTGGCACACACCTTTAATTCCAGGAAGTAAGATGGCAGGGCAGAGGAAGGTATATAAGGCGTGAGGAAACAGGAACTCACTCTCCTTAGACTGAGGATTTTGTAGAGGTAAGAACCAGTGGCTGCTGCTCTGCTTCTCTGATCTTTCAGCTTTCATGCCGATATCTGGCTCTGGGTTTTTTATTATAAGACCTTTTAAGATTCGTGTTATAGTAGTGGTACATGCCTATAATTTCAGCGCTTAGGAGGGTGAGGAAGGGGGAGCGTAGGCTTCACCCCAGAACCTGGGAGTGTGGCTCACTTGTTAGAGTGCTTGCCAGCATGCAAGACGCCCTAAGTTCCATCCCCAGTGCTACATAAAAACTGGTGTGCTGGCACACACCTGTAATCCCAGAGCTCAGGAAGCAGGGGCAGGAAGTTCAGAAGTTCAAGGTCATCCTCGGTTACATAGCAACGTCGTGGCCAGTCTGGGCTACGTGAGACCGGAAGGGCTTGGGCTACCCTTACCTTTGGCCCAAGACCTGGTATGTTAATAATTAGATTATTCCATCTCTGAGGCCTGGGGCCTTCCTGGTCTCATTTTTTCCACAGGATCAGCGCTACCGACAGCTTTTGCATGTTTACATTTGGCTGAGTGTAAAGAGGACGAAGTGGAAGAAAGACCTCCTTCCCCTGGTATCCAGTGTCTCCCAGAAGCCAGAACTTCCCAACCTTCCAGGTGAGTGGGGAGACCAGCCAAGAGTAGGGGAGGGGCCAGGCTGAAGGGGGCGGGGAACCGAGGTGGGGGCGTGGCCAGGGTGCCTCTGACCTCTGCCCCTTGCCTTATAGTATGGTCTCCAAAGTCTCCTCCCCTACTCTGCTGGAGGCTCTGAGCAGCGATTTCCTAGCCTGTAAAATCTGCCTGGAGCAGTTACACATGCCCAAGACACTGCCATGCCTACATACCTATTGCCAGGACTGTCTGGCCCAACTGGACGTCGGTGGCCAGGTCCGCTGCCCCGAGTGTCGGGAGATTGTGCCTATTCCTCCCGAGGGTGTGGCCGCCTTCAAGACCAACTTCTTTGTCAATGGGCTTTTGGACCTCGTCAAGGCCAGGGCTCCCGGAGACATGCATTCGGGGAAGCCCACCTGCGCTCTGTGCCCTCTGGTGGGAGGCAAGAGCTCTGGAGGGCCCGCCACAGCCCGGTGCCTGGACTGCGCGGACGACCTATGCCAGGCCTGTGCCGACGGGCATCGCTGCTCCCGCCAGACCCATAAGCACCGAGTAGTTGACTTGGTGGGTTACAGAGCCGGGTGGTATGACGAAGAGGCCCGCGAGCGCCAGGCATCCCAGTGTCCCCAGCACCCGGGGGAAACCCTCCTCTTCCTATGCCAACCGTGTTCTCAGCTCCTCTGCAAGGACTGCCGTCTGGGGCCGCATCTGGATCACCCCTGCCTGCCCCTGGCGGAGGCAGTGCGCTCCCGGAAGCCGGGCCTCGAGGAGCTACTGGCTGGTGTGGACAGCAATCTGACTGAGCTCGAGGCCACCCGGGTGGCAGAAAAGGAAGCCTTAGCCCAGCTGCGGGAGCAGGCAGCCAGCGTGGGGGCGCAGGTGGAGGAGGCGGCTGAGCGAGTCCTCAAGGCCCTGCTGGCCCAGAAGCAGGAAGTGTTGGGACAGCTCCGGGCCCATGTGGAGGCTGCCGAGGAGGCTACCAGGGAGAGGCTGACCAAGATCGAGGGCCAGGAGCAAGTGGCCAAGGCGGCCGCAGCCTTTGCCCGCCGAGTGCTCAGCCTGGGTCTGGAGGCGGAGATCCTTTCGCTGGAGGGGGCCATCACGCAGCGCCTGCGCCAGCTTCAAGACTGTCCCTGGGCCCCCGGGCCTACCCGCTGTCTGCTGCCCAAGCTGGAGCTCCATCCTGGGCTCCAGGACAAGACCTGCCACCTGCTTCGACTCTCCTTTGAGGAGCCAAAACCGTCCCAGCAGGACAATGCGAAGGGTGGAGCCGGGACCCAAGGAGGAGATGAGGCTCCCAGCCAAGGCGAGGAGAGAGCCAAGACGGGGAAGCAGGGTGGAACCCAGCCCCTGTGCAAGGATGGAGCCTCAACTCCCAAAGAAGGCAAAGCCCAGAGCTCCCAAGAGGATGACGAGGTCCAAATCGAAAGGGGTAACAGATCTAACAAGAAGAAGAAGGGCAAAGGGCGGGGCAAGCCCGTTTCTCGGGAGCCCAGCCCCATCCTGAGGCCAAACCTAGAAGGTTCAAGCCTCCTCCCTCGGCCTGTTTTCTCCTGGAGTTTCCCCACCAGGATGCCCGGAGACAAGCGTTCCCCGCGCATCACCGGGCTCTGTCCCTACGGCCCCCAGGAGATCCTGGTGGCGGATGAGCAGAACAGGGTCTTGAAACGCTTCTCCCTCAATGGCGACTACAAGGGCACAGTGCCGGTGCCCGAGAGCAGTTCCCCATGCAGTGTGGCTGCCCTGCAGAACGCAGTGGCTTTCTCCGCCAATGCCAGGCTCTACCTCGTCAGTCCCGAGGGGGAGGTTCAGTGGCGAAGATCCCTGAGCCTCACCCAGTCCAGCCACGCCGTGGCCGCGATGCCCTGTGGAGACCGGGTCGCCGTCAGCGTGGCAGGCCACGTGGAGGTGTACAAGAAGGATGGCAGCCTGGCCACCCGGTTTATCCCTGGAGGCAAGGCTAGCCGGGGCCAGCGGGCACTGGTGTTCCTGACCACCAGCCCCCAGGGCAATTTTGTAGGGTCCGATTGGCAGCAAAACAGCGTGGTTTTCTGTGATGGGCTAGGCCAGGTGATATGGGAATACAAGGGCCCTGGTTTACATGGCTGCCAGCCAGGTTCTGTGTCCGTGGATAAGAAAGGCTACATATTTCTGACCCTTCGGGAGGTCAACAAGGTGGTCATCCTGGACCCCAAGGGGTCACTTCTTGGTGACTTCCTAACAGCGTATCATGGCCTGGAAAAGCCCCGGGTAACCACCATGGTAGACGGCAAATATCTGGTGGTGTCCCTCAGTAACGGGACTATCCATGTGTTTAGGGTCAGGTTTCCCGACAGTTAAGGGGGCTCAGGGCTGGGATGGGGGGGAAGGGGCAGGCGGGAAGGGAGGGAGGTGACGAAGCCGAGGGCATTTTCCCAGCTGGCAGAATGCTTGCTCCTTCTGTGATTGATGTCTAGGGATAGAAGATTCCAAGAGCGGTAGTGGTGATGTGTCCATAATCTCAGGAGCACACGGCCGGTGCCTGAAGTCAACCAAACCGCTTGCTTTTCAATGATGCCCGCAGCTGCGGCTGCTGCTGTGTAGTTTAGGTGTCTTGAGATTTATAAGTGATTCTTGATTTGTAGTCTTCAAAACCATTCCTGAGATGGGGTCATGACTCTGTAGAGCACTGGCCTAGAACTCACAAATGAGGGTCTGGGGAGCGGGGGTGTGGCTCAATAGTAGAGCGCCTGCCTAGATTCTACCAATGAGGAGTGGGGGCGTGGTTCAGGGCTGGAGCACCTGCCCAGAATCCCCCAGTGAGGGCCTGGGGGCGTGGCTCAGTGGTAGAGGGCTTGTCTAGCCTGCAGGAAGTCCTGAGGTCAATTCCTAGATGTTCCCTCCTCCTTGGGGGGAAAAAGACTGATGGAGTGGATGAAAGAGAGTCTCCTAGAGAGATGACTTGTGTCATTCTCCAAGCAAAGAAAGACCCAGCATATGTCAAGACGTGGTGGAAATGGGGTGAAAACTGGCCATTCTCACAGGGGCACATGGGGTCACAGGATGCCAGAGATCTCAGAATGGCGATAACGTTGCCGTGTTCTGCCAACCACCACCAGGGCGTCGAGACTCCCTTAGTGAAGGACTGGGGTGGGTTTCAAGGTGTCAGAGGTCAGAGAGTGCAGGTACAATCGGAGAGGCTATAGATGTGAGGTTAAAGCCAGATGTGGCAACACAGCACGCCTGTAATCCCAGCACTTGGGAAGCTGAGGCAGGAGGATCACACATGTGAGCTTAAGCCTGTGCTGCCTGCAGAGACTGTGTGTAAAAGGCTGGACTCCTCTCCCAACTCTCAAGCACCAGTCTGTCTCACAGAAGCTCCATCTCTGGTGGCCACATGTTCAGCTGGATCAGTGAGGATGCCCACTGTGAGGGGAGCTTAACCCTCCTAGAGGGTGGCTGAGCGGTGTCAGCATCAACGCTGGTGGGATCCTGTCCAGAGAGGTGTGCATGGGCAGGGCTGTGACTTTGTGATTGTCCTCCAGTGCTCCACCATGTGCACGGACTGCATCATCCTGCCCTTCAGTGCCCACAAGCCAGACATCTCGCGAGTTCTCAGACACCAGCAAGGCCCCCAGAAACCGTGACAATAAGACCCACGTGGTGCCGAGTAAGGCTCACTGGATTGAGATGCAGCAGCTGACGGAATGAGGGGTGCTTGTGGTTGCTGGTGAAGCCCATCGACCTCCCTCCCGAGGTGGTCCAAGTTTACATCAACTGGTGCTGGGCTGATGACCAAGAAGTTCTTTAGGGCAGGAGAGCAGAATCCTTTCAAATATACCAGTCCGCCCTGAACTGCCGCCCTCAGGAAGCCCAGTGACCCAGTGAGTGGCCAGGCTGGCCAAGGTCTGTGCCTGCATCATCCATCCCCTCAAAAAGGAGATGCCCAATGTCTTCAGAAGACAGAGTAAATGTCAGAAGATGGTAAGGGAGCATCAGATCCTTCCTGGTCATTGTCCTGGGCCTTGGGAAAATGCAGGGACTCTAACAGACCCAGGACTTCAGCACATTTCAAGCCTTGGAGTCCTAGAAGCGGGACATTGTGGACGGTGTGCTGGCCAGTGACCTCACCTGGACGGTGGTGAGGGTGGGTCTGGAGGACTCCCTGACCGCTGCCCTGCAGGCTGTGAAGGGTGGCGACCTCGATGGCGCTGTGAACGTGTGGGCATGTCTACAGTGAGCATGAACGATGTTGAGTAGGTGCCTGGCTAGGACAAGACGACCTACGAGATCTGCACACACACCCCAGCCCTTCCCCTGCCATCGCCTGCAAGATCACAGGCACCGACACCAAGAAAGACCGAGAATCCTGGTTTGCCTAACAGCGCTGGCCGAGCACCTCACCCAGGTAAAGTTGGAGGACCGCCAGCGGCCCACCGCCCTGCCCCCACACCTCAGCTCACCTTAGCAGAGGCACAGATGACCCCCAGAGCTGCTGGTGCTCCCCCCATCTCTGCACTGGGGTGGGGGTGGGGGCAGAGATTAAGGGAGGAACAGTGTCACCGCATTTCAAGGTCCATAAAGACTCAGCCATGTTTCCTTAGCCCTCAAATAAGAGAAACACCATATTTCTTTTAAGGCCATTATGGGGCTCAGCGGGGAAATGGTAGTGATGGTTGGATGCAAACAGTGGGATTTTATACTCACAAAAAAACGTGGGATCTTTAATATAGAATGTTAGAGATATATATATAAAAAGAAAACAGCTAAACACAGTTGAGCCAATCAGAAGAGACATTTAAATAGGGTATGAAAGCTCCATAATCTAATACCTTTCTGATGCTTTCTGTATGTTTCCAAGAATCTTATTTATTGCTTTTCCTTAGCTTTCTGAGCAAAATTCGCTTTCAGAAAATTTTCGCCTTTATGTGAATGAAGTAAAGTGACGGGATGGGTGAGGGGGGGAAGCCACTGAAGCCTAAAGGCCAGGATGGGATTGGGGTGCCAAGCAGAATCTGGGGAGTCACCGTAGGGGCACGGGAGGGGGGACCTACGATGGGGAGGGTGTAAAAATCTAGAGAGGGATACAGTTGGAGGTAAACAGTAGCTACCACGGTCCTTTGATCTGTGGTGGCAGCTTCGGAACGGAGATGGTAGAGATGACGTGTGTGGCACGTGGAGAAATGACGCTGAAGAGAAACTTAGGGGATGGCGATGACGCAGGGCGTGTGGGATCCAGGGGGCTTTGGGACAGGTCCGGATGGAAAGTTTAGGGGTAGAGAAAGGATGTCTTTTTCTGGGAGACACATTTCCTGTTTGTAGAAACCAGCACAGGAAATCACCAATGTCCAGATGATCAACTCTGAGCACATATAAATTTTAAACGCTGGACAGGGTGGGGCGAGTCTGTGATCCCAGGACTCAGGAGATGGCAGCAGACTTGTGAGCCGGAGGCCAGCCTAGGCTCCGCAGTAAGACGCTCAGAAACAAGAAGCAGATGAGGCTGTAGTCTCTGTTGGCAGAGTGCCTACCTAGCGTACTCGAAGCTCTGGTTTGATTCCCAGCACTGAATAAAAACAGGTCTAGTACATACCTGTACGCCTAGCAGGAGAATCAGAAGTTCAAGGTTATCCTTGGCTATATAGCAAATTCAGAACCAGCCTAGGCTACACGAGACCTTGGCTCTAAAAACAAACAAACAAGCAAAAAAATCTAAAACAGATCTAAAGATACATGCACAGCAAAGTACAAAGGAAGACATGGAAGCCAGTAGGATCACAAAACAACATGGAGTTTCGATTTGATCAGGAAAAACGGAATCACCAGTGCACCCCTTAAAAAAAGAGACCTGTTTGGACAAAGACAAAATAGTTCACGCACCCAGGACGGGGCGGGGGGGAGGGGGGTATCTACTAGCAAGGACTGGTAAAATGAAAAAGAATTTGCTAAATAAAACCACTGGCATGCGCCAGAGATAAAGTTAAAAATGTGTTCTGAAGAAACACGTAGATTCCTGGCACTGTAAACCGATGCCTCCCGGAGAGACATTTGGCAATATTTGCCACAGGTTTGTTTTTTTTTTAAATGATTGTAAAACTACATTAATCTCAGCCTGCCTAGAATCCACCGGGGGCTGAGAGCTGAAGGGTCCGTCTAGAATCCCCCAGTGAGTGGCGCAGTGGGGGAGTGCTTCCTTGATTCCTGTCCCCTCTCTAGCACGGGGGCGGGGGGGGGGGGTGATATGTTATCCCACTTTGGGGAATACATTCTGGAGAATTAATTCAGGGGCAGAAAAATGTTTGCTGTTATTAACTGGAAACTAACTGCCCCATGGTGGGGTGACGGCTGAGTAGGCTGTGGGTCTGTCGGAAGAATGAATTCATGTGGATAACAACTATGAAAAGTATTTGGAAGAAATAAATGGTATGTGGTGCAGTCATCAGGGGAGAGAAGAGAGGGAGTGGGGGGCTGGGGAGCCGGCTCAGTGGGTAAGAACGCTTGCTATACAGGTGCGAGGACCCGAGTTCGAATCCCCGGCACCCACACAAAAAGCCAGGTACCAGAGCTATAAGGGGGGTGGGGGGGGGAGGGGCAGAGTCAGGGCTTGGTTGCTGCCAGGCTAGCTCCAGGTTCAGTGAACGACCTTGTGTCGAAGTTATAGGTGGAGAGTAACAGGGAAGGACACTTGGTGTCCTCTAGACCTTGTGCCTGCCTGCACACACAAGAAAAGAGGGTGGTTGACTGGAGCGTTCTGACTGCACAATGTCAACAGGTGAGATACGTCTGAATAGCTACCGAGCAGACAATGGATTCCTAATCTGTAAATAGCCAGTGATTTCGGAGGTTACGTCTTTTTGAGTTATTTTGAGCTGGTATTCACATCTGCACATTTCTTTTTCAGTGAGTATTATATGCTTGAGTACTTCAAGAAAATATGCTTCTATAAATACTATTTAAGAATAACTAACCACTGGGCCAGATGTGGTAGTGCGCTCCGGGAACTCTAGCACGTAGGATGAGGGCCGGAGGAGGATTGTTATTTTGAGTTATTGTGGGTGGGCTCCACAGGGGACAGGATGGCTGTGAAGTTCCCAGCGTTCGTTCCGGAAGTCTGGCTGAATTCTCCCGACCCATCCAGACCAAGTGGTGGGGTCACAGAACGGGGTGCGATCCGAGGAGCTGGATGAAGGCCCAGATAGTGTGTGTGTTGCCCCGAGTCTCTTCAGGTAGCGTGATAGCCAACTGTAAGTCTCAATAAACGTCTGTGAAATGAATTAACGTGTAGAGAGGGGGTCAGACTGTTCGGCCACAGCCTTTTAAGCCAAATTGTGTAGAAATCGTGGCTGATGGGAAGTCTCCAGTAGGGGGCACTGTTGCGCCTCCTAAGGCAAGACTTCAAAAACAGAGGATTGTGGTTTTCCAGCTTCTTTTAGGAGAAGGGGGAGTAAGGGACAAGATTCTAGGGGCTCCTGTGCTGTTTTGGGTAGCGGCAGTGCTGCAGAGGCGCACGGGAACCTGGGGGGGGGGGGCGCTAATTCAGTGAGAGGCCTTTAGAAGTGGAGCCAGGCCTGATGTGCAGCAAGTTGGGAGGCTGAGGCAGGAGAATAGGAGATTGAAGTCCTGCCTCTGTAACTTGGCTAGACTATATTTCAGAGTGAGAAATAAAGAGTGCTTAGGGATAGAGAGCCTGCCTAGAATCCCCCAGTGAGGGACTGGGGTGTGGCTCAGTGGTAGAGCGCCTGCCTAGAATCCCCCAGTGAGGGACTGGGGTGTGGCTCAGTGGTAGAGCGCCTGCCTAGAATCCCCCAGTGAGGGGCTGGGGTGTGGCTCAGTGGTAGAGCACCTGCCTAGAATCCCCCAGTGAGGGGCTGGGGTGTGGCTCAGTGGTAGAGCACCTGCCTAGAATCCCCCAGTGAGGGGCTGGGGTGTGACTCAGTGGTAGAGCACCTGCCTAGAATCCCCCAGTGAGGGGCTGGGGGTGTGGCTCAGTGGTGGAGCACCTGCCTAGAATCCCCCAGTAAGGGGCTGGGGGTGTGGCTCAGTGGTAGAGCCCCTGCCTAGAATCCCCCAGTGAGGGGCTGGGGTGTGGCTCAGTGGTAGAGCACCTGCCTAGAATCCCCCAATGAGGGGCTGGGGGTGTGGCTCAGTGGTAGAGCACCTGCCTAGAATCCCCAAGTGAGGGGCTGGGGTGTGGCTCAGTGGTAGAGGTTTAAGTAGTATGCATGTGGTCCTGGATTCAATACCCAGTGCCAGGAAGAGGGAGGTACCTGGTCTGAAAGAGAATCCCACAAATGCTTAAGAGACAGAACCAAGGGCTTCGGGGGACCTTGGAAGATGAAGGGAAGTGTGAACTTAAAGGGGTGAGGATTGGAAGGCACCGCACACTAGAATGTGGAGGGTGAGGGAAGGGGTGGCCTTGAGCATAATTTGGAAGTAGAAATCCACACCTTAACTGACCTGTGATTCCTGGTGGATCCCACCCAGACTCAGAATCATTCTTTGTCTTCAACCAATATCTTAACCACATAGCAACTACTTGATCAATCATTCTCTTCCTGATTGGAACAGTCCAGGTTGTATGTGATTGGGGACAGGCCGATGTTGTTTGGGGAGGGAGGCAAGGCAACAGAGAACATGTCTGTGTTTTTTTATATTCAAATGGCTCTGCTCCTTCATTGGAGTAGGCCTGAATGGGGGGAGTTGCAAACATGTGTTGTGACATACAGGACCAAGAGCTGGGCGTACCTGTAACCCCAATGCTGGGAAGGCTGAAGCGTGGAGATCATGCCAGCCTGAGCTACAGGGTGAGACTTGGTCTCAAAACAAGGGCTGGAGAGATAGCTCAGTGGTTAAGAGTGCTTGCTATTCTCAGAGAGGACCTGGGTTCAATACCCAGCACCCACATCAGGTGACTCACAACAGCCTGTAACTCCAGCTCCAGAACTACCGCCATCTTCTGGCCTCCAAGGACACTGCACTTACGTACACATACAGCCACACACATAGACATAATTAAAAATAAATGTTTAGAAAAATAACATTCTGGCCGGTGGTGGTGCACACCTTTAATTCCAGTACTCTGGAGACAGAGTCAGGCGGATCTCTGTGAGTTCGGGGCCAGCCTGGTCTACAGAGTGAGTTCCAGGACAGCCAGGGCTACACAGAGAAACTCTGTCTCGAAAAACCAAAAAAAAAAAAAAAAAAAAAAAAAAAGAAAAGAAAAGGAAAAATAACATTCCTAAGAAAGTCTGGCTATGGCTACATTGTAAACCTTCTCCTGGGGATAATATTTGTTTTAATTTCCAGAAGTGATACAAACAAGCCACTCACCAAAACACACAAGTGACCACAGGAGCACAAGGGACCAGCAGCCCGGCTGGCTGAGAGTCAGGGCCATCCGCCAAGCCGGCTGGGAGTCGGCTGTTCCCAATGAGGACCGATTACCGTCGCCATTTGGGGAGAGTGAAAAACAAAATGACGAGAGTATCCTATCTTTGTATAGTTTATAGAGAAAATATGGTTCGGGGGGCGGTGGGGCAAGATGACGCCCTCTCACTGTGGACCTGTTCTGTCTGTGAAGTGGTATCACTTCCTCAGTCCCTGTGGGCACAGTTCTGAAGGTACAGACGGTCAAGGGAAGTGTTTAAAAAATTGTTTTTAAGGAAATGGATAACGTTGGTGATCTGAGCTAGCGGCGAGTTTGATTGAGGGGTGCCGGGGTCAAGGTGCCTGGCCATCTCTCTTTGGCTGGGAAGTTGAGGGTGGAAACAGTCTTTTCACTGGGGACTGGAGAAGGGGTGCAGACCTGTGAAATGGGGAGAAAGCTGTCTCACCCTAGCTGGGACTAAGCTGCCAGGGAGAGCACCCTGTTCAGAAGTGGGCTGGACAGACGCTACCAGAATCAGCCCATCTGATTGACCCGGGGACTTAGTTTATCCAAATGCACCGGGGGGAAGAAAGGTTAGATCTTCAGGGACTTCCAGACACCGGGGGTTGGAGGAGCTGAGAACGTTCACTGACGTCCTTCTCTCCCGATGCACCCGGTGAGGTATCTTGGTGACCAAGTAGAGGAGGGTGGGCCTGTGTAGGGAAGAGGACCAGAAGAAGCTGGAACTTCGGGAAGTTGTAGCGGGTTATCTCAGGGGCCAGGAGGGGGTTGCTCGAAGACAGGGCCTGAGGGTCAGCCCTGCCCACTTCTCTCCGATGCCATGGGACCAAGTGCCTATGCTGTGAAGACTCACATTGCCTATGTTGTACCTCCTGTTTCTCAATAAAGTTCTGGAACATTTCTGTGGTAATTACTTCTGTGTGGCTGGCCTCATCTGCTCTCTATGGCTGTGAGAAAGACGCCATAACCAAAAGCAGTTTGGGGAGGAAAGGGTTATTTCAGCTTGTCCCTCATCAGGGGAAGCCGAGGCAGGAACCTGGAGGCAGGAACTGATGCAGAGACCATGGAGGGATGCTGCTGACTGACTTGCTCTCCCTGGCTTGCTCAGTTTGCCATTTTTTTTTTTTTTTTTTTTTTTTTTTTTTTTTTTTGGTTTTTTGAGACAGGGTTTCTCTGTGTAGTTTTGCGCCTTTCCTGGGACTCACTTGGTAGCCCAGGCTGGCCTCGAACTCACAGAGATCCGTCTGGCTCTGCCTCCCGAGTGCTGGGATTAAAGGCGTGCGCCACCACCGCCCGGCCAGTTTGCCCTTTTTTAAACACACATTTTTCTTTTTAATTTCATGTGTGTAGATATTTGTCTTGCATGTAAGTCTGTGTGGCACATGTGTGCAGTGCCCTCAGAGGCCAGAGGTCAGATCCCCTGGGACTGGAGTTAGAGCTGTGGGTGAACTGCCATGTGAGTACTAGGGATCGAACCCAGGTCCTGTGGGAAAGCGGCCAGTGTTCTTAACCACTGAGCCATCCCTCCAGGCCTTCAGCTTGCTGTTTTAATGCAACTCAGGTCTATCTGCCCACAGGTGGTACCACCCATAGCGGGCTGGACCCTCCTCCACCAACATCAATCAAGAAAATGCCCCCCAGGCTTCCCTGCTGGCCAGTCTGAGGGAGACTGCTCCTCGGCTGACAGTCCTTTTCCCTAGGTGACTCTAGTTTGTGTCAAGTTGACAAAAAAAAAAAAAGCTCTCCAGCTATCCAGCACACTGGCTGTGACTAAAATTACCTCACAGGGGCTGACAGTGAGCTCACGAAAGCTCAGTGAGTAAAATGTTTGCCAAACACACAGGAGGAACTGAATGCAGACCCCCTAGCACCCACAAAAACCCTGGCTTAGGGATGTGTGTCTGATCCCGGGTGCTGGGGAGTGAGACGGCAGATCTCTGTGTTCATTGGTTAGCTAGCCTCGCTGCATCAGTGGGCTAGCTGCATCAGTGGCCTCACTGCATCAGTGGCCTCGCTGCATCAGTGGGCTAGCTGCATCAGTGGCCTCACTGCATCAGTGGGCTTCCAGCTAGATGAGAGGCCCTCTCTCAGTTATACAGCGACAAGATAGCTCAGCAGGTGCTTATCACCAAGCCTAATGACCTGCGTTTGATCCCTGGGATCCACGGGGTAGAGGAAAGGATGACTCCTGCAAGTTGTCCTCTGGCTTTCACATGTTCACCATGGCATGTGTGTGCCCTCTACCCCCACTCCCGCACAAATACAAAATAACAAAGTGTGTGTGTGTGTGTGTGTGTGTGTGTGTGATTGCGTGTGTGTTTGAAAGAGCAATTGAGAAAGACACCCAATGCTGATTTCTGGCTTACATGTGTATATGCACCCCACACATACACACAGCTACACAGACACACAAACGCGCACACACACACACACACACACACACACACACACACACACACACGCCGTGACCCTGCAGAGACAAGGGCGGAGCACTGCATATCAGCCCACAGGTTCAGAGGTCTCGGTCTGCCGTGGCAATGGGAGTGTGTGAGGGAGACTCCATGTATCGGAGAAAGCCAGGAAGTAGTGCAGACTGAAGCCAAGGGCAGGTGTTACCTTCCAAAGCCCACCCTCGGTGACATACTCCACCAGTCAGGCCCCACCTCCTAAAGCCCCCCCCCTTCAGAATAGTACCACAAGCCAAGGACACAAGCTTGGAGCTGGAGAGACGCTCAGCAGTTAAAGCCTATACTGCTCTGGCAAAGGACCTGAGTTCAGTTCCCAGCACCCACCTGCTCATAACCTCCATTAACTCTACCTCCAGGGGATCTGACGCCCTCTTTTGGCATCTTTGGGTACTGCATGCAAGTGTACATACCCAAACACACATATACACATAATTGAAAATAAATAAATAAAATCTCAAAACACGAGGCCGTGGGAGACATTTCAGACCCAAACCAAGGCAGATGAGTTCACAGACACGGAGAATGTGCCACACCAGGACCAGAGAAGCAGAGTCAGATTGTCATGGTCGCCTGGTGGTCACTCCCAGGGTGGCCGCACAGATTCCTTGGGGACGTTGCAGAAGCCAGAGCGACCAACACGATGGCCCCCGGTGATCCAGCCTCCTCTCAGCTCAGCTTCTTCTGCAGGACAAATGGAGCCACTGCTGATCTACGCCTTCCTGAAAGTCAGGCACTGAGCCGGTAAGCAGGTAAAGATGTCTGCTGCCAAGCCCGATGACCTGAGCTCCGTCTCTGAAGCCCACAGGGTATCCCTCAGGTTGTCCTCCGATCTCCACACATATGCAGTGGCACGCGCACACACGCACATGCACACGCACACACACACACGCACACACACACACATGCATGCACACCATACTCAATACATAATGTAAATTTTTTTTTAAAGCGAGACATGGTAGCATGCACTTATAATCCTAGCTCTAGATTCTTGGATTCTCTGGAATGGATGTCTGGAGTCTTAGGCCCCATTTCACAACCACAAGGTGAATGGTGCCTGAGGACCGACAGCCCATGGCTCACGCTGGCACACACGTGCTCAGGAACGCCCACACACAAAACAGGAAGACACAGTGAACAAAAGAGACTCGAGGCCTTGAAGAAGTCTGCCATGGGGGTATAGGAGGATAGACCTGAGACATTTCCCGTTCCCGGCTCCCTCTCCTGCCTTGCTCTCCCAGCCAGGACCCCCAACAAGGAGAAAGAATGGCAGCCTAGGAGGGAATGCTGTGAGTGGCCTGGCTCGGGAACAGGGCCTCACTGCTGCAGTGACAGCCTACAGAAGAATTCTGCAATTCATTCTCCGATGACTAAGCCTGGACCTGGGCGCCGGGGCGAACCCCGGGGAACGTGACTCAGCAGCAAGCTGAGGGGGCCTGGCGACAGGAGACAGCCTCCGTCCATGTGAGCCAAGATTACAAAGGGAACAACCAGTTCCCAGCTTCCAACCCCAAGGCGGAGCGCCTGCCTCTGTGGTCAGACCCACGAGGGGCTCGTGCTGTGAGCCGGATGGCCACGAGCCTCCTCCAGCCAAGCCTGCTCATCCTGCTGCGCACTCAGCTACACCAGAGCCAGGGGCCACCTCTGCCGCCCACAGCTCTGGTGAAAAGCCTTGTTACGGGGAGAAGCTGGGTCTCAAAGAGAGCAGGAGAGACAGAGAGAGACATGGGGGTGGAGGGACTCATCCCAGGCTGGGGACATGCTAGATGGATGATGATTCTAGCTCCCTGCCTGTATTGAGAAGCTGGGAAGGGAGGTCATCAGCCTTGACTTTTCTCAGGGGCCAACTCCAAAAACACCATGGCAGACTCAGAAGTGATAATGTCTATTTTCTCTTCTCTAGAGTCGTAGGGATGGTTCAATGAACTATTGGGGGGGGGGAGTGATGGCGGGGAGAACATCCCCAGCTCGGCATGGTGGGCCACACCTGTAACCCCAGCACCTAGGAGGTGGAGGCAGGAGGATTATGGAGTTTAAGGGGCAGCCTGGGCTACATAGCAAGACTGTCCCAAACAAAGAGCACACATGGATAGGAGAAGGAAAGGACTGAGAAGAAGAACAGCATCCTCAGAGAGAGAGAAGCCATGGCCGTGGCGTGGTCATTCAAAGAGAAGGTCACACAGGCCATCTCCCTCCAACCTTGGCCCTTGCTGGCATCCCCGTGCCTTGTTGGCATGGACAGGCTTATATGCATAACAGGATAAGGACTCTGACTCAGCCAAGGGCAGGTACTCCTTAGAGGTCTGCAGGCTGAGAAAACACATCATGAGTCTG